ATACACATTTAAAATACGTGTACCGGTATTAATAATTATATGATTATCACTGACCCAACACAATGCTAAATTTAAAAAAATAATAATAATTGACCCGCGATCAAAAAAGGTTGCCGACCACCGACCTATATGATGCCAGAATAGATTTAATCTATCCAAAAATCCATTGGTTCTACATTAACATTAGTATACTTTGTCAGCAAATTAGAAATATATTTCTGGTGACTTGCATAGAAACTAGTGGAGCAATCTTTTAATAGTAATCTCAGTTGTTCTAGAAACCATTCATTTGTTCTTCAACACTAGAGATACAGCTACTTTAATTCTCAATTACACATTTTATTTACAACTAGCAAGTTTACAGCCATCTATCTATAGATATTACTGGTACGTGCTGTGAGCTCTGTATTAGTTTGGTGGGTAAGTTAAACAACGAAATCAAAACCTCGACAAAATATATTACAAGTTTTGATATATTTCTGAGGTTTCGTTTTCTAGTTTTGGTCGTTTCAGTACTATAATACAAAACGTTACAAATTATAAAAGCAGTACTAAATGTCGTCAACGTCATGTCATTACAAAATAAAAATAAAGGCACTACATATGTGTGTACCAGATTAAATAATGTGTACGTTTCACAAAAGTTCATTGAATACGGTTCTAATAAATTCACTGCATTCTAACACATTGTCATGGGTAGCGATAATCAATTTTGCAAGAACTGGTTTCAGAACTAATGTTTTAAGGTCAATGGATCGCACTGTGTGAAGTTTTGCCAATTATACCCTCTTTCTCGATGACATGATGTGTTGAGTACCAAACACGAATTTTTCTTTGTACGATCAGTTTATGGCAAGGTATAAATGTTATAATCACTACGTATATGTTTGCTGGTATTAATATGGATATGGTCGTTATCTTTTAAATGGGTGGGAAGTTTTTCATCACAATAACCTTCGTGCACGTTGAATAAAGTTGTTACTTTCTGGTTCTTCTTGGTCATATGACAAGATTAGTTTGTCGACAAAATGAATCATGGCGCCCTTATTACTCCAGTTGGTATTTGTAAAACTGATGTCCCATTTCTCAAGGAAGTCTACGTTATCGGTCTGCTTTACCAGGGTATTTGAGCAGTGGTAGCAGAAGTGCTGACGGCTTAATGATGGTGAGAAACACTTGAATCTATAGATATGAAAATCTCTTACGAACCTTTCTCTGACATGGTTAACTTACCACTGGAAACTAAATGACAATTGATCAATAATTTTAGTACACTTCTGTATCATTTTAGGAAAATGAAATTACAGTTTAAAGAAAAATAAAATAATTTTACTTTTACTTTTGAGTTTGATGTAATCATCTTTCATACTTCATATTAACGTTTTAGCCAAAGTCAGATGAAAATTTTCATTGTATATTTTGCGGCACTGTTGTCTAATGAGTAGTTAGCAATATATGCTCTGGTCTCTTCATCACAGAGCTTATAATCTCCGCTTTTGCGTTTCTATAACATAGTGGTGAGTGTAGTTTCAGCATCACCCTCAGCAACTTGAACTGTTATATCTTCTTTGCATTTCGTGTATGCATTTAGATCAGATACCCCAGAAGTGGTTAGAGTTTTAAGTGGTAGGTTACTAATCTTAGATTACTTTATTAGAGACATTTTGTGAATGACCAAATTGTGTTTCTTATCTTTTTATAAGCTAATTGTAAGTATGCATTGCAAACAGCTCAGCATGGTTGTAAACGTTTGATCATGTTGTTTTTAATTACACATCTTACACGTAATGAAACTATCAATGCACATTATATTTCTTTTACTTTTTTACATGCTAGAGGAGTTTCAGCATCAGCTAAAGTGCAAGATCTCCTCCCTCCAATTGTGGAATCCCAACACTGGGTGTTTGTCAGTGCACAGTTCAGGTAGTGTGGTGCTGCTCTTAATTCCGAAATACCGACCACAGAACTAGGAGCAACTTTTACTTTTTACTTTATTATTATTAATTATTGTGCGCCATTTTATTTTTTATATTTGTTTATTTATCTTTATATTTAATATGATGAGCCCAATGTAAATAAGATGATTATAATACTATTACTTTTATTAGAATTATACATTTGAGGATGTTGGCAAAATAATACCCTCAAGGTTCATCTGGTAATGATACTCAGTTCAATTTGATTTAAGTAACATCTGTGTTTTCACATACTTTCACCTTCGCTTCACTTTCATATTTTTACCCTCTTTCCGGTCTTCCACTTGACAGAGTGACCTCTGTTTCATCTTTTCCTGTCCATCAGTCTACATACTTTTTGATGGAAGATATTACTTGGAGATCTTACTAGATTGCTAAGGGTTTTGTCTTACTAGCAAGGTGATCCAAATTTTTATTTTCAAAAGATGTTCAAAGGTTTTACCCATGTCCCATGTTTTTTAGACAAAATCAGTCTCCAATGAGTCCAATCTTGTTATGCCCATGCAAATCGAATAAGTAATCTTACGTGTGGGGGGCAAGAATTTAAGAGCGCACGAAGTAGCATATTTACCCCAAGTCAAAAAATTTGGTGTCCACAAACTTGAAAGTATTTACAGTTATTTCTTCCAAAACAATAAACAGTATACTTGACTCATTGGTTCCACCACTGCATTAACAAGCAGAGTCACAAAGACTGTGAAACATTACTCCATATTACGAGAAATATTAATTATTATGTAACTACACTCGATCAATCCACTGCTCTAGGATTTTATTTGTGACTATCCGCAGAGTCACAATTTACCTGTGTTAAAGGCCATTCTCGTGGACGATCTCTGTAGTAAATCCATCTCTAAGTTACCGAACATCTTTGCTTTAGTAAAGTGAAGCTGAACTGCTCCACTCACTTTTATCTTATGTCAATTTACTAGAACGGAATAGATGGTTAATGGCCAGAATGGTGGCTTATCTGACAGTGTCTGATGCACATCATAGCCCAGAAGAGTTTTTGTATCAAGTAACAACTCCATCTCACTTCTATGCATCTTTACAGGCACATAACAAACTGTACTCAAGCGCTGTATATCTATGTTCACTCCAAGGTTTGTGGCTATATTAAACCAGGACCAATTTAAACAAGCTAGTTGGGAATATTATATAACCTGTCTCTGATATTTTTAGCTACTTTCATATGATAATACGATTTTGCTAACGCCTCTTTGTATTCAATGTGAGCAAGATTTGGACAGTCTTGATCCAGTGACCATTTTTTACAGGCATGAGAGACATCACATGGCTCACTCGAAATACTGGTCAGTGGAAAGCTCTCATTGCTAGATTTTTCCATTTGGTGTTTTGTTTGAAGTCATCACTTCAAATCGCAATGCCACGGACAATCTGTACAAACAGCCCCTTTTTGAGCCCGTTATCGTTTTCAAGCCTTAAACTTAACCTTCCTGGACTAAACCTTTGACAGAGCTTACTATTATCGCCAATGAATGCATTGAGTTGTTTTTGTTCATCTTTCCATCTAAATATAGTGAACTTTGCTGATCCGTATTAGTTCATGACCCAGAGCAATTAGATACAGCTAGCAACTACACAAGTTAAACTTGTTGCTTTTCATCTCGAGGCTCCCGCTAATGCGAGATTTTAGTTCTGACTGTGACATTCAACGTGTTGTAATCTCAAATGCACTACCAACATTATCTCAGTCATAGACCTCTTCATGCAGTTGACCACAGATTTGATTCTCTATTGCATTTGATAGCATTTTCATGTAAGGAGATAAACCATATAGTGCATGCTTAAATCCATAAATGTCTTTGAGATAATATGCCATTTGGTTTTGCAATGGGACTGGACAGTGAATGACCTCCACCAGCGAGATCTATACAGGTCTTGTGGCTCAGGGAAAGTTGATCCAGTGATGTTGGTAATATGCAATGCATGCTGACTACTAATGGTAAAAAACCTCCTCATGAGGTCTCTGAGTGTCAGTGCCTCTTCTGAGCCCCATCATTACTGACATCTCCATGTTTTCTTGCCATGTTAGGCCAAAGGTGTTATTGACTAGGGGCAACCCCTCTTGTAAGATATTTGGATATCTTGGTTGAATGGCACTTGAAAAGTGCTAGAGTGTACTCAATATCTAGGCCTGGACTCCAGCAGGCATCACCTGTCTGCTCCAATTATAGCCCTAACCGCAAGTGTCCCTCTTTCTTATATTGGTGTATTTCACTGGAAGTTAAACACGACTCCATTCATTCTAGAAAGCTATAAACAATAAAATAAGCATATTAAGTATAGGATATAACAAGGCACCTGATACTTTTCCAGGCAGAACTCGGATCACTGCTAGAAGGAGTTTCTAGAAAAGTTTCTTTCTAGAAAGAGCTAAAAACAATAAAGTGAATGTCTTAACCACAGGATTTTATAATTAAAAACAAGATCAGCGTTTAAAATTCACAATAATGTTGATATAGTTGAACGCATAATACAAAGAAAATACAATGCAATTTTTATCAAGCAATGTTCTAGATTAAACAGTGTCTATGATAATAAAATTAACAGTACGGTAATATTACCACATATACAAGGTATAACTAGCTAAATCGCCAGTGTATTCAGAAAAAAATAATTTTTATTCCTATTTATAAACCATTTAACAAAATTAAAACAATACTTCCTAGTATCAAATATAAAAAAAGATATTTTAGAAAAAAAAAGGAATATATCAAATTAGGTGTGAATGTAACAACATATACTGGTCAAACTAAACGTAATTTGAAATATCGTCTTAATGAACATAAAAGGTTATGTACGTAACAAAAAATGCCAATTTCTTCTCTTGCTGAGCACATTTCTGAAACAGGCCATTCAATACAATGGCAAGAAATAATAATTTTAAATGAATCTAATAGCCAAAGTGAACTAAATATTAGAGAATCAATAGAAATTTTGTGCTGTAACATAAATAATTCTTTGTTAAACAGAGATGGAGGGTTAGCTGGCGATAATGCACAATTTTGGAAAGAAATGTTGACTTCTTATGTACAATACTCATACCACTCTCATAGATTACACTGAGTTAAACCGTTGCTTTATAAAATTACCCGCTTGTCATGTGGGTTTTTAATCCTAATGATCGCAGCGTAAAGTTACCGAAACATATAGTCTTTCTAATTTTGTGTATTTTAACTCTTGATATTGTTTTTAAGTTTCAAAACCTATTGCACAGGTTGCCGTAATTGAACCTTTAACCACAAGATATAACAAAAGTGGCATCTGACACTCTTCCAAACAGAATTCTGATCACTTCTTCAAAACATTATAGCTTACCAGAGGATAAAAATAGCAGTGCACGGGTAATTCGTCTGAATGAAAGAAGCTGTAGAGATTACTCGTGTAAAGTTTAACTTAAACATGCATGAGGCTGAACATTGTTTCCAAAAAAAACCTATAACTCTTTATTGACAAGGTGCACAGTAGCAGAAATGCAGGTTATATATAGAGACTTTATAATAGTAAACTGAAGATATGAATAATGGTGATGGGCAGAACCAGATAATGATAATATTGTAAATGACGAAACTGACAAAGTAAATGAAGACATCGAAGATATAATGAGATATGTAAAACACTCTGGTGAGCTAATGACTTAGACACTGGATTTATTACTTAGGAAAGGTTTCGTCGCCACTGGATATGTCAGTGGTAGTGTGGTTGACATAACATATTCTTCTTTGCCTTCACTCATGAGTTTGTAGTGTCTTATATTTCTATTACCAGATTTAGTTTCCTCCACAAAGTAGCAGCACTCTTCAGCAGCAGGGGTGGCTCCACCAAAGAAATAAGATTAAAAAAAAACATGAAAATATACGCTCCATACAATCTAGGTCGATTGTTTTCTGAGGTCGCAGACGTTCTTATGCAATCCGAAAAGGAGAATATTTGTCACATAATTGTTGGACCGTAGACGAAGAAAATTAAAACAAATAAAATGCTAAATTTTCTCGTTAACTTATTTATAATACGATTTTTAACAGATACTCTGGTTTATACAGGTTGCTGAATGACAGATTCTATAGTGTCTAACACAGATCATGGAACTCTTCATACGAATTTACACATTCCTCGTAAGTTTACTCTCAATATATAGTTAGTCACCTTGTTATTAAGTCTCTTACAATCAACTGCGTCTTTGTGAATTTTACTTGAAGATAATTTTATATGCCCTAAAATAAACAGTTCGATTCAGTATATTGCTGGAAACTCTTACGTGCCTAAGGAGAACTTCTGGACTCGTTTATAACGACACTGTTTGGCGTAAGTACTTTTTTATTCTTCTGGGGCTTTAACCAAGCATAGTGTGATTATAAAATTTCAAAATCGACCCGTTAATATCGATCTCTTTTGAAGAGTTCTCTCTTGTCTGCGAGAAGATAAAAAGAGGAAGTGCTTGACAGAATTTTCAAAATGTCATATTCACGTCATACGAAGAGTGTGTGGTAAAGGTTGTTTTTTTTTTTAAACAAAAACCTACACAGTGAGATATCTGCATTCTGTCGAATGCAAGGAATGTAGCTCCGGATTTTAGTGTTGTCAGTCCGTGAACTTACCACTGACCCACCAAAGGACAGTGGATAAGGTCAAGAATTACAAGAGACAAAATAGATTAGTAGAAGATAGCGTAACTGGTAATAATAGTATCAAAAGTCAACTTGCAAAGTAGCAAAAAAAAAGATTACTTGTAATTACAGAAATAACAAAGTTGAAATATAAAGGAATTCATCGAAATGTGTATTAAAGTATTGACATAAAATACACAAATATTCAGAAAGTACATTTCTTTAAATAAACCGAAGCTTAACGCGTGTAAAATTATTTTTGATTGGTTGAGATGAAGTCTAATAAACCTGAGATTGAAATGATTTAATTTAAGAT